GGTGAAATATAGTATGCAATATAATAATATATGTACGACAGCTATTTTTTAGTATTTTTTATTTAATATATACGACAGCTTTATAGTACAAAAGTTTTATAGAAGAGTTTTATGAAATAGTTTAGTTGATGAGTTTTTAGAAATAGTCTACAACTTTTTCATAGTTCTTTAATCCCACTTGGCGTCATTTCCTGATATCATATTTTTTTATAGTTTTAATATACACAACAGCATTACTTGTTGAAAGGTTTTAATATGTACGACAGCTTTTTTTTGAAAGGGTAATATATACGACTGGTTTTTTGATAGGTTTAATATATACGGCAATTTTTTTTAAATGTAAAACAATACTATTTTGTTTTGGTTGTGACAAGAGCGTGTACTTGGCGCCTTTTTCTTTACCTTTTTTTTTGAAAAGGTAGTATTAACACAAAACGAAATTATTTGAATTTGAACAAAACTAGATTTTGAATATTTAATTTTTCACAGAATTGTAAATAATAATAATAAGATGCTTTTTCAAATTCTCAACCAAGAAAGATTGCCTGCGATCCGACAATATCTGCTTGTAGGTTGAAAAATTTCTTTCTACATCACAGATGTAATTGGCGCGTACTTAAATTTGCAGATAATTGAGGGACTTATTTGAATACTTTCCTCATGGTTTCCTTGCAATACATTGGATATTTTAGTAAGTTGAATAAATCCTTTATTTTTTCTTAAAACTTTTTCTAATTTAGTTTGAATCCGTTGTCCTATTGTACCTTTGACGTTGTTGATTCTGTTTTTGAAGCTTTGAATCAATTCTATAGATTCAGAGAGTTCCATGCCTCAAATTTCTAGTTTCGTTAGCAATTCGCTGATAAAATCATAATTTGCTTTAATAAAAGCTAACTCTTGAGATAGTTGCGCTTTATTTAATATATTTTTGCAATCTGTAATTACTGCCGAATCATCAGAAAAAGAACACACTATTTCTTTTATCGTTTCAAAGTTCTCCGCA